GAAACACTTAAGAAAAAGATAACATGTGTTGGAAGAATTGTTTTTCTAAATTCACAATTCTTGTAGTTAACATTAATCATTTTGAACTTTTCATGATGGTAATGTAACACAATAATTTAATATATGGATGAACTTCTAAAATAGTTAAGCGAAATACTATGTGTTTAGGTAAGATCATAACTCTTATGTAGTAAGATATTTTAGATATTTATTATATAAAATATCTTAGATATTTTAGACGGTTGATTACTTAACCACATTTTTAGGTAAGGTGGTTATTTTTATTTTGGCTTATAAATACAATAACAGGGTCAAAATCCAGGTACGTTCTCTTTATGCTCTAGAGTCCCTGAATAATATTTCAGAGCAGTATCATAATCATTCTCTTGAGAGCTGAGACTCCATAACTCACATCTGACTTGAGCGTCGGAGTATCTTTGCAGGTACCTCCCCCTCCTTTGGCGAGTATGAACAACAACAATTGGAGAAGAGCAGGCGTCCCAAACAGTGTCCCAGACAACTAGGAGCAACAAAGACACACCTGACAACATGTACACCGAAACATTTTGGCCCCACCGTGGGGCCGAGTGCAATCCCAAAGAAGCCACAAGAGGAGCCTCGGCCTCGAATCATTTTTTCGGATAAAGCTACCCCATCAAGATGAAGCCGCATCACCACCAGGAATTTCCTCCGCGAGCCATTAATGCCACTGTAAACACCTTTGCGAAATTGTGCCTCTTTGCAGAGCACGCCTCCAAATCAGGTCCATCCATCAGCCTCCGTCGCGCCGCCGGACACCGCTGCCACAGGGGAATCATTAATTCATCCCCATCGCCTCCCAAACACGGTCACGCTGATCCTACGACAGTGGTGGAGACCACCGAACTCCTATCCACGATGCGTCTCAAACAAGAACAGCCCACACCAGCATCTTCATTGACGCCATTCATCAGAGCTCAAAACGCGCAATCAAAACCAACCCCAATTCATAAGAACGGGAACGATCCTCTACAGTTGGTGATGAGCCTAGTCCGCAAAGAAGACCACCACTACCGTCACTCACGCTCTGATCACAGGGTCATGGTTCATCCACCAGACTTCAGTTCCTGTCTCCTTAGAACTTAAGGATATAGAGGTACACCAGAAATCCCTAATTTCCCAATTTCCACAAACCCCAATCTCCAAAATCGGAGAACAACAGGAACCCTAAACCCAAAGCTCAATGGCGCCGCCGCTTTTTCAAATCCCTCGCCATCTTCAGGCATTCAAAGTTGCGAACTCTTCACACCAGAATCGAAACCCCTAAAAACAGAATCGAGAATGAGAACGGAAGGACCCCAAAATCCCCAACGAGAAAAACTCTGACCAGGATCGCACAATCCGCAAACCGAAAACCCTAAAATTCCCAAATCAATGACAAGCCCTTTCGGCGCCTCCAGGTCTGCCGCATTGTCAGACCCATTCTCCACGTCTTCCGCAAGACTCGCGCCATCCACGCCTCGTTCGGTTCTGCCTCCACATGATCGGCCATTTCACCTAACGGACGTGCGACTTCAAGCGTCCAGCAATCATCCTCGCCAAACGTTCTGCCTTTCGGCTTCAATGACGCTCGACCATCCATGGTCACGAACGTTCCAGCGTTCGGCCGTTCAACCACACTGATGTTCAACAATTCGGCCTCCCTGGCAATCCACCTTGGTCGACCGACAAGACCAAGTGTCGCCCGTGACCGATCGACAAAACCTTCTTCATTACCGATCGACCATTTCCTTGTCGACCGTCAAGAATGAGCCACCAACAAGGTCGTCCACCTTGGTCGACGACAAGACCGAGTGGCCTCAACGTTCATCCCTGGCGATCAACCATTCCGCCTCACTCATGTTCGGCCACCCGTCTCCATAACGTTCGTCCACTGGGTCCCCAACGTTCGACCATCCTTGGCCTCGACCATTCGGCCACCCGCCTCAGTAACGTTCGTCCACTCGAATCCGCAAGCGTTCGCTCATTCGACTACATCTGATGCTCGCACATTGGTCCTCAATGACGTTCGGCGTCTTGGTCTCTACCGCTCGACCATACTTCAACACGAGCATGTCAGCGTTCGAGCGCCACTGACGTTCGAACACCGCTCGAAAATCCATATCAACGAGCGTTCAAAAACCGCTCGACAAACCATGTCCATGAGCGTTCAAACCGTCCACGCGTTCAACCTACGTGTCGAGCGTCCAAACCGTCCTCACGTTCTACCGCTCGACACTTCATTTGGATTCGGCCACTCGACGCCAACGACGTTCGTTCTCTTGGGGCCAATCGTTCGCCCATTAGATCTCACGGACGGTCGGCTTAGAGCGTTCATCGGTTCGCTCAACATCGATGTCAAGCAGTCGCCCGTTCGTCCTCGCCCTTCGGATCCGAACGCTCGACAACCCCAGTGTACGAGCGTTCAAACAGTCGGCCGTTCGGCATCCCTTTGGTTTTCAACCACTCGGCCTCACATTTGGCCTCTACTGTTCAACCATACATCTACACCAGCACTCAAGCCTTGGGCCGTTCGTCCGCTTGCCTCAGTTGTTCAACTGTAGGTCTCAATTACGGTCGGCCGCCTGGCCTCCACCCTTTCGCCTCAGTCGTTCGGTGATTTGCGTCTCAAGCAATTCCAGCATTTGTTATCACGGCCGTTCGCCCTAAAGCGTTCGGCCAATTGCGTCTCACACGTTCGAGCACTCGTTCTCGCGGCCGTTCGGTCTAGAGCGTTCGGCACTTCGCTCGTCATTAACGTTCGGTCTCTAGCGCTAGGACTCATGTGCCACTTGGCCGCTCGACAACCTAAATGCCGAGCGTTCACACATTCCTCACTTTCGACCTCACATGTCGCTCGGTCTCTACTGCTCGACAATAAACCAACACGAGCGCTCCAACATTCGGCCATACTCTTGTTCTAGGCGTTCGGCATTTCGCTTACCATGGACGTTCGGTCTTTATCGCTCGACCATAATTCAACACGAGCGCTCCAGCATTCGGCCAAACTCTCATTCGGACTCACTGTCGCTCAGCCGTCCAATCTCTTTGACGCTCGGCCTCAAGCGTCCAGCATTCGGCCTAAATAACGTTCGACTGCCAGGTTTAAATCGCAACCGAACGGTCTTATCTGTATTTTATATATTATATTTCTCATGCAGGTCACAGTAGACGGTCAACCAAAAACCGAGCGTTCTACGGGATACACTCCCATGGGTCACTGTTCGCCCAAGAACACCCAGTACATTCGGGATACACTCCCATGGGTCACTGTTCGCCCGAGAACACCCAGTACATAAGGGATACACTCCCTCTGGTAGTTGTTCGCCCAAGAACACCCAGAACATCAAGGGATACACTCCCTCTGGTAGTTGTTCGCCCAAGAACACCCAGAACATCAACCGCTCGACAATCCATGTCCACGAGCGTTCTAAGGGATACACTCCCTTTGGTAGTTGTTCGCCCAAGAACACCCACAACATCAATCGCTCGACAATCCATGTCCACGAGCGTTCTACGGGATACACTCCCTCTGGTAGTTGTTCGCCCAAGAACACCCAGAACATCAACCGCTCGACAATCCATGTCCACGAGCGTTCTACGGGATACACTCCCTCTGGTAGTTGTTCGCCCAAGAACACCCAGAACATCAACCGCTCGACAATCCATGTACGAGCGTTCAAAGAGTCGACCGTTCAACCTCCTCGCTCGACAATCCCTATGCACGAGCGACCAAGCTATCGGTCGTTCGGCCTTAAAGGTGTTCGACCTTTAGGTTTCGACCGCTCGACAATCTCTATGTACGAGCGTTCAATCAGTCGGTCGTTCGGCCTCACTCATTCTAACTTTTTGCCGTTCGTCTCCACCTCTTTTTCATCCATCAAACTCAACTGCTCGGTTATCCTTGATGTAAAACGTTCAATTCACACATTAGCGACAACCAGAAACACGCCCCCCAACACAGCGAATACAGCCTCCCTCAAACCCATAAGTCCTATAGTTACCACGTCCATAAAACAGAACGGTTAACTCGGACTTGGGAGGCATGTTATGTAGTAAGATATTTTATCTTAAATATTATATTTATTACATAAAATATCTTAAACGGTTAAGATATTTATAAAGCCACTAACCACATTTTTAGGTAAGGTGGTTATTTCTTATTTTGCTTATAAATACAGTAACAGGGCCAAGGTCCAGGTACGTTCTCTTTATGCTCTAGAGACCCTGAATAATATTTCAGAGCAGTATCATAATCACTCCCTTGAGAGCTAAGGCTCCATAACTCACATCTGACTTGAGCGTCGGAGTATCTTTGCAGGTACCTCCCCCTCCTTTGGCGAGTATGAACAACAACAATTGGAGAAGAGCAAGCGTCCCAGACAGCCAGGAGCAATAAAGACACACCGGACAAATGTACACCGAAACACAAAGACTTTTAGCGAAAGGATAAAATTCAACAAAGTTTTGAAACATGCAAATTAAGATTGTTCTTTTTGTCTTCTTTTCGGAAAAAAAAAGTTTTATCTTTTATATATTATATATTATATTACATTTATATATTAATATTATATTATATATTATATTTTAAAATATTATATTATCTTTTATAATATTTGTTTAATATTTTCTTAATTAAAATATTATTTACCATATCTATTTTTTAAAAGAATCTTTTAATGTAAATAAATTCTTAAAGTATAATTTTGTTGGTAGCTTAATAAAACATCCGAAGAGTTGCCTAGCCACCCTTTTTGCCTAGCCACCCTTTTTTCCAAACTCCTAAAAGGTAAATTCACTGAGTTAACGTTCAATTCATCCAGATAAAAAAAAATCACCATTTTTTGTACACGCACTGCTAAAATCCACGTGTTATATTATCCTACACCACAACACAAGTAAGAATAGTGCATAACCAACACGTGTTGTGCATGCACGATCCATAACATTCCAACACTTGCATGCTTATATTTAGAACAAATTGCAATAACATGAAACATTCTAATCTCATCCCCAGAATGAGTCATCAACAGCTCAAGAAACCACAGGCAGATCTTGAGATCTCCAATTACGGCGACTTCTCGGAGAAGACCATCGACCGTCTCGAGCCGGTGGTTCCCACCGGCATCGGTTCTGCCGCCATAGATGGCGACCCTATAACCATCGGAGAAGCTTTGGAAGCGGCGGCCATAGCGGCGGGGAATAAAGCGGTGGACCAAAACGACGCAGCTGCGATCAGGGCGGCAGAGATTAGGGCTTCCGGAGAGAAGAGCGTGAGGTCCGGCGGCGTGGGTGAAACGGCGCAAGCGGCGGCCACTTTCAACAGTCACGTCAAGCGAAACCAAGACAAGACGAAACTTTCCGATATATTAACGGTAAGAACATTGCCATTTCTTTCGCTTCTTAGTTTTCTTCTAAATAAAAATTAAATAATAATGACACAAAAAAATTTGCTTAGCAAAATTACATTAGAAGAGATTATCACTTAGATTTTACCATATATATCAAAAACCATGGATAGATATACGTTGAATCGAGTTTAATGTTTTTAAAATTTTATATACTTGTAAGAAGATATTTTATTTATTTAAATTCATTTAAAAAATTATCTCCTATACAATAAACATCTTGAATCATTATTTAGGTGATTTCTTATGTGAAATAGAAATTAAACATTTAAAAATATTATTTTTTTATTTTAAATTTAAATATAATTTAATTTTAGTTTAGCCTTTTTATCTACTATTCTAGAAGTCATAAATTTTAGTTCATAATCCAATTAAAATATATAAAATTTTTAATTGATCAAACTGTATGGGTATGAAAATAAATTAGACAAACAGTTAAATTAAAATACAATTTGAGAATTATATTTAGTTTTAATTTTAAATTCTATCTTACTTTAATATTTAAAAGCTGATACATAAAAATATTAATAAATAACTATTATGAAGACTAAAATTGTATTCAAGTATTGGTTTTAAAGTTATGACTTTTTTATAAGTCACGTCCTAAAAAATATTATATAGTTTTATTATTTTCTTTAGTTATAAAATTATTTTGAGTACATTTAATATATGAAATATGTAAATTATTATAGAAAAAAAATTATTAATTATTACATAACTAATTAATGTTCAATCTTGTTAAAAGTATTTGCAGAAGTGTTTTTTTATGTGAACTTAAATTAAAGTGTTTGAAAATAGTAAAGTTTAAGAACTAATTTAGAAAATTAAGATGTTCAATTTTTTTAATACTTTTTACAATCGTCACTCGTCACTTTGATAGATAAGTTTTGTTTGTGTAAATAGATAAATTTTTAGTACTTCATAATTGTTTTTATTCTTTCTAAATGGTTTTTTAGATGGTAGATAGTTTGTTTTTGTAAATATATTTTATTTTATTCTTCTAGAAAGTTATTGTTTATATTTTTTTATGAGATTGAATGAGTTTGCTTTTTCTTTTAAGGAAAATGTTTGTTTCATGTGCTTAATCATTTTAACAATTTTGAATGGGATGACGATGGCATCTTAAAAGGATGCCTCAGAGAAGCTCTCAGTGGACAAGGCAGTGACGAAAGAAGATGCTGACGCTGTGTATGCGGCGGAGGTGCAGTTTACACGGCGGGGGGAGGCTGAGGAAGGGGTTGCTAAACCTGGCGGCGTGTCGGCATCCATGGCCACTGCAGCTAACCTTAATCAACAAAATTGAGGCTTGGAGTATAGTGTTTGCCCCTTTTTGAAAACGTGTTTTTGGGTAGAAGCAGCTTAATTTGTAACTACTGAATATGAATACTGATTTTGATTTGTGCTTTTGTTTTAACAGTTAAACGTTTGTTTTATTGAAATTGATAATCGCAAATTTACTATCAATATAATTAAATTATAATTATGGTTAAATATGTTGCCACATCATATTAAATGATCCAAAACAATTATAGTCACAATTCCCTATACTCAATTATTCAAATAATTTTAATGCACAATTTTTACCTAGTAAAGTTAATCTTTTTACTGTCATGAAAACTCTAATTCTTCTTTATATAAGAAGCTCGTGTTAATCTTTCCACCTAATTCATCCTCTATTTCCTCTATTTCAATGCATACCTTAAAAATCATTAATTAAACTTTGGAATTTCATACATCTCCAACATTTCATACATCACTATATTCCAAAAGTTTATATTAAACATTTAATATATTCTCATAATTACAAAGTCAAATCTGATAAAATTTCAAATAAGTAAAGATAATTTACCTATACCAAAATCTCAAGTTTCTTTTTGAGCTTTGAGTAATTAGACCTCTTTATTTCAGGTTCTTAACTCAAGTTAGGACAAATTACACCATTAAAGGATTTCATATATAGATGCATACAAGCTCTAAGAGAAAACCGTAAGTTTTTCACAGAAATCAACATACAACACAAGCTTAACCGCAATTCAGCAACTTTAACAAGCCACTCAAAATTTTAGATCATATAAACAATATTGTGCACAATTCAACATACTACACAAGTTTAGTATCAACTTAACAATTAAATCATGCAATTCATTACCATGGAACAAGGAAATCACATATTCATAAATTTTAACAAATTAACAATCTCAAAATGTAAAAGCTAGAATTAAATTAGTTTCACTTACCTGCAAAAGAAAAAAAAATAGCCATAGAAAGCTTAAAAACCAAAATACCATGTACACATAAAAACATCACAATAACAACTTACAATGAGAAACCAGTACACATAAAAACATCACAATAACAACAACTTAGAATGTGAGAAAATGATCGTAAAAAGAACTTTAAAAAAAGTGATTTTTAGAGATGAGAAGATCATCGTAAAGAGCTTTAAAAAAAGTGATTTTTAGAGATGATATGTTTAGAAAACAATAAAACTTACCTATGATAAACTTTTGGATATATATTGACTTTCTAAACTTAAAACATTTTCACGTTGATTCTATTAAAAAATGTTATTATAAACTTAAAAATATTATTTTTTTTAACCTCTTTATATCTTTTAATATAATATATATTTAAATATCTTTTAATATAATATATATTTACTAACATAAAAAATACACACAAATATAACAAGTAGAATGAAATTTTACGACTTCAATGCTTATTTTACCTTAAAACAAATAATGACTGAGAAACGTGTTTTTTTTTTTTTTTTTAATTCTTATAATATGTTACATTATTCAATTATAATTCATTCACTGTTCTTAATCAATTCAATCATTAATCCAATATTATAAACACAGTAAATTGAAGTTACAAATATGTGATGGTTCTGAATCTAAATATAACTTCTTGAGAGTGATGATAGTAATACACTAACCTACTTCTTTTAATTAATCACTATACAAAGTTGATTTATATTTGAAGATCCATGAGCTTCACCACGTCACTGAGATTTGGGTGCCAGAATATTTTTCAACTTTGATTGAAATTTGATCAAAGATCTTATCCTGTCCCAAAGTGAGACATTGGAAGTGAAAAATCTCACCATCACTGACCTTCTTGAACCTTCTCTGGGAAATTCTAATTCCTTGTTAATAACAGTGTGCTTTATACTGTCTACATCTTCAAGCAGTGGTAATGACACAGAACCCTGAGACTCAAGGTTTCTGATCCACCCACGAAGTAAGAAATTTATGATCTGCAAAGAAACTTCTAACATTAATTTTTGAGATCATGACAATCATAATATACAAGGAATACAATTTAATAAACGTTAAACTTCAATGAATTCCCATAATCAATTCGAAGAACTTCATGAAGTTAAATATTAACATTCTTTTCTAAACTCTCAAGCCTGACAAAGTTGAGTAACTCGACAAGTAATTGTGGGAAGATAACAAAAATAACAAAGTCCAGCTCAATTCTTCCCTATTAAAATAATATGCAAAATAATGGGATGTATAAGAAACAGAAAAAAGATAAACTAGCAAGCTCTTTTCTGGGTTTTATTTACCTTTATGTATGATTCAGTTTGGTATTATCCTTTCTAATGAAACCCAGTTACAGAGAACGTGTTTCTAACAATGAGGGAAACGGCATAGCCTCTTGTCTAACCCAGAAAAGGGTAATGATAAATGTACACCCCATTTTCAAGGTGAATATGTAGAAACAAGAGGGAAAAAACGATAGATGAAAAGTTGGACCCACTAAAATTGGTGATTTTTCAACTACTCCCAATAATAGTGGATAATGTGTTGTTAACATTTCTCAACAGGGAAAGGCAAGCACATGGAAGAAATTATTCCTATTCATTAAGCAATATAGCAGTAGTTCCATAATCCAATTTTTAGTGCATGTTTATTATCATGTAAAATTGATAAACTTTTAATCTTCATGGTCTCAGATTGCAATTAAAAAGCGCACAGACAAATTTTCAATCTGGTATGAGAGGATTTTTCATACCTCAGGAACTTCATCATGAGGGCAGTGACCAGCAGGGCTGATTTGATAATATGGAGCATCAGGCACCTGTCTTTGAACCTGGAATCCCCAAAGTGGTCCCACCCAGGGATCTTCTTTTCCATACATGAGGCAGATTGGCACATTGTTTCCTCGACATCTAAAATGCAGAAACCATGAAAATCCTTCGTGAATTCATGCATATCTGGTACCGAATTGAGTGAAGGATAGTGTTTCACTACAGAGAGCTTGGAATATCTACCTGGATAATGTTTCACTGAAGGATAGTTCTCCCTGAGGAGCAAACATTATTGAGGCAAATGATGCAGCTGCAGCTGGATGCCTTGTGGTTTCAACTATGCGTGAAAAAACGTTATCTACGTTTGTGGAGTGATCTGCATAAACCTGACTAAGTACTTCAGCAATGCTTTTAGGATCAGAAATTTTCTCCCACCTAAAAGATAAAAGATTATGTTAATGGAAAACATAAAATTGAGTACACCTAGAGTTGCACTCTCCCTCTCACCAATTATGAACATTACGGAATGATGCCTCAGAAACTCGTCCTGAACACATCAAGGACAAAAAAATAAACCATCCAAAACAATCTTCCGCATTGTAGTACATATTTTAGGGCTAATGGTAATAAACCTCAGTGGCTTTGTCTGTATGATAGTTTCTTCAGGGTTAATGCAGTGATGTTGTTGTTAATAGTGTTGTAAAGTTTCTTCTTCAAAATAGAACACCAGGTTCATTAAACAGGGTTTCTTATTTACCACTCACATATTAATGGATAAGTACGTAACATGCATAAACTCTACTTGTATTCAAGTTCTTAACTAAAATATTGAAATCATGTCAGCAGAAAAGATAGAAATGAAGCAATAAATAAAAATAAATCCATACTTACAACAACTCTGTAAGTTTCTTTATACTTGAAGGTAGGGGGAAAGTTCCAGCCCATGGAAATATTTTGGCTAGTCTTGGATTTTTTATTGGATTTGGAAGAAACCCCCAAAAAGGTGTTGCATTAAGCAACGTGACACCTTTCACTAAATGAGGGTTGCAAGCTGCAAAATACAATGCAACCAATCCTCCTAGTGAGTTGCCCACGAGGTATACTGGTTCACCAATGACCTGTTGTAACAAATAATTAATTTGGATAATTTCTTCAATGATTAATTTCCAAAAGCAAATTAGCTTCATATTAAAACTAATTCTCCCGAGTCTTCAAATTATAGAATATCAAAATCCTTTGGATCAACTATTTTTCAGATTAGCCAATGTGATTATAATAACATTTAGAGCAAAAGATTGCAGAAGGTTACAAAGATCTAAGAAAGATAAAATCTTTAATGTAAAAGTATTTGAGATACAGCAGGTTTATTCTCTTATTTAGACTTCCATTAGAGATTTCATTAAACATCACAAGTATATGAAACATTGAAATACTGACTATTGTTCACGGCTCTTTTAGAAACAATCTAGCATATGAACCAAATTTTTGCAGCATAGAATAACTTAATGGCAGTGGCAATATTTTTATTGTCATGGCAGTAATGGTTTCGCAGACAACAACTCTAGATATTGGAGGAGGGAAAAATGGTGCATCCCAATAATAATCAAGCAAATATTGTCTTGGTAAAATGTCATCAATGCAATATAAATCATACCTCAGTAGTTGAAAACGTATTGTTACTAGACCGACCAAAGGAACGAAAGAACAGAAAATGAGAACACTTACAGATCCAGTCCCACGACGAATATCAACAGAAAATCAGAGAACTAGCTAGTAGTAGAAAATTTTTCACCTCATTAAACAAATCTTTGGTATCATGTGACAAACCAACTAGTCCAAAAGCTTAAATTGTTAGATGTAGACTTGTGACGATGTAATCCATCTTACAACAAGAAATCTAAAACTACCGAATGAAAGATGCAAATTCACCTAGAACAGCTCTATCATGTAGCTAAAAAACTGGACTCAGATAGCTAAAAAAGGAATATTAACAAACAATTCATGTGCCTTACCTCTTCTACAAAGCAACGAACTTGATCTTGCCACAGATCGACTGAGTAAACAAGCTTAGCCGCCCACGGTTCAGTTTCATCTCCAAAACCCCATGAAGAAATACCTTCATTCGATGCAACCTCTTCCTTAGACAGAGGGGCAGGGTCTTCAAAAGGCAAAGACATCCCTTGGCCTAGAAAATCCAGAGCCCAAACTCTGTAGTCACGCCCCAAATCCTTAAGTTGCTTCTCATAATGGAAAGAGCCAACACCAAAACCTGGCAGAAAGAGAACATTAGGAGAATCCACGTTTTCGCACCCTGCTTTCTCATAGTGCACGTTGAGTTTAGGCTTCCATCTCCAAAAGCAACTACTTATTTCTGTACCAGATTCACCATTTGAACCATCA